TTTTTTTCGCGCACGTGCACGTGCACCACTCTCTCGCGCATGGCGCACAGCGCCCCGCGCCGCACTGCGCACCGTACCAGTGCGCCGCAACTATGGTTAATGGTAGTAGGCTAGTAGCAAGGGAAACAGCAGGGGCATTCAAAGATTTTAAAAAGACTGAAGACATGGGACCACATCAGCAGTTCTATCTAGTCAGTATAGAAAATCCGACAGCTCGAGAGCTGAGAGCAATAGGCCTGTTGGAGCCCAAAGAGAAAAAAAAAGTTACAAGCACCAGAGAGTGAAGAAGTGGTAATCAGGGTAGTTAGGCTAACATAGGGACAGGGGTCAAGGGGGGTGCATCCTTCCTTTGAGAAGTAATGAATGCCGTCCTTCGGGCCTTCAAACCAAAAGGCGCAGGAGAGTGAGTTAGTGTACAATGTACATTCAACATTGTATTCTCTTCCCGGACTGATGCTCGCCAGGACGGAAAACGCGGCCAGGACAATAATGTTATTTCTTTTGGGAAAAAAAAGAACAAAAGAAGAAGAAGAAAAAAGAAAGGAAGAACGGAAGGCATGGGGAAGTGGACCCACGACCTGCTGAATGCAGCTTTCGTGGTCTACCAACTGAGCTAGGCCGCTGGCCCTTCCTTTCAAATCCGAACGGCCTCCCGCGGTGTGCTGCCGGTTAACCAGCTGAGAAACACAGCTCGCCCCTACTGGTTGGCTGGTGTCCAGCGCACGCCAGGTGTTAGAAGCAAGGGTGCTTCCCCCACACAGAGCAGAGGTCGGATATCCCGTAATCTTAGGATAGGATAGCAATTAAAAAAAAAGGAAAAAAGAAAAAAGGATAGGATAGCATAGCTATAGCGAGTAGATAAAAGAACCATGTCCCATCTGATCTCCTGGCCCTCTCCTGATCCTAGACCTTGGACCTTCTAGTTGGGGTATCGGTTAAGGCCCTTAAGGGTGATTGCCGGTCTTGGGATAAATTAAGTTCCTGGCTTGTCTGGGGGGTGGATGGTCCCTTGATTGCCCATGGTAGGAAGTATGAGGTACAGTAATGAAAGAAGATAATAACATAGTGAAAATGCGGCTGTCTGGGTCCCCCATATGAGGAGAAGACAAGACTGCATTAAAAAAAAAAAAAAAAAAAAAAAAAAA